TGGTTTTACAAGGAGAACGCGTTGGCGTGGTTAGATTTTGTATTTAACTTTTGTTGGAGGTAAAAAGTTGTGTTTTAGTTGCTGTCTTAGCTCATTTCGAGCTCAATTTTTGGGAAAATTAAGAAGGTGATTTTCGTGGTCATTTTGGGTGCGAATCTGGTGATTCAAAAGTCTAGATTGTGGGGTTTTTCGTGATAATCATCATGATGTGATTGGTTTCAGCATCTGGACCCTCGTTTCTGATATTTTCTTGTAAATAGCTGCTGCTATTGTTGTTCCGTTTAGTGTAATTTAGGTTTTGGTTGCATGTTGATAGTGTTTTGTTCTCGAGCCCCAAATTGTGTTCCATTTTGGGATATGAGCTGGGGGAAACTGGTTAGGACCCATTTTTGGAATTAATTCTGAAATTTCCAGTGCGGGTCCCACGATTCACGTTTTGACTCCAAAATTGACCCATCTTCATTTGTTGTGATTTTGGTGTCTAAACGACCGTATTAACGTTGTGACTCTATTTTTTATAGCGGAGCAGCGTTTCGAGACCGTTCGAAAAGGAAAAGCTCCGAAAGAGTGATTATAGAGCGCGTGTGATCGACCTACAGGTAGGCTACGATTTTCCTCTCTTAGATTGAGCTTGAGAGTGTGAATGCATGTTGATTAGTTGAGATTTGGGTTGGTAGTTATTGAATCATGCATAGGTGTTTAGAAATCATGTTTTCGGCGTATTTCTAGAATTAACGGGTAACTGTGAGCATGCTTTGTGTTATTAATTGACCCTTCTCACTATATGAAGTGCTTGCATGCTTAATTACTGTTTATTTGAAGCATGTTGGGCCTTAGTTTAGGTTTGACTAGGGCTTGCCTTAGAAATACATGATTCGGATCCGATAGTCCTTAGTTTTGCCCCGACGTTGCTCGGCCGACTTAGATCCCTGTAGACTGGTGTAGCAGATTTGAGTCTGATAGATTGGGCCTTAGCTAGGCGATACGCTTGCTCCGACTTTTGTTATCCTTATTTTCCCCGATGTTACGGCTTCACGAGTTACGTCGGCGACACTAATTCTACTTCGCGATTTGAATTTGATTTTTGATTTGGTTCCAAGGAATTACATTGATTGGCTGAGTATAGACGGCGTTCCACGGACATTTATGAGTGTGGATCGATTAGGACTCTTTCAGCAGCTACATTGGCACCTTTATAGAGCATTCGGTTTAAGGTCCGACCTCTATTGCCGAGATACTTATATAGAACATCCGGTTAGAGTTCCGACCTCTATTGCACTGATACTTATATAGAGCATCCGGTTAGAGTTTCGGCCTCTATTGCCCAGTTACTTATATAGAGTATCCGGTTAGAGTTTCGGCCTCAGATACTTGATATTTGTGATTGGTTACTTGAGTACTTCTGGTGAGCATTCGGTTCGATGTTTGGCCTCCGTACTATCAGATTCTACTAATTGGGATTGAGGTTCTGGTTCGTGTTCTCCATTCTTGGGTTCTCATATTCAATTCTCTTTAGTTATAGTTATTATGTGTACTGTCGGGCTTATGGGGGTCCGTTCGGGTTTTAATTTAACTTGCGCACGAGTGTACCTTCTGGGCTTATGGGACCCCAGTTAGGTGTAGTTAGCTTATAAATTACTTTAGTTAGTGCTTTGTACACTCGTGTGCATTCCTTTGTTAGTTAGATTTTTGTTCTTGACCTCGATTTGGCAATCACCCATGAAAGTGGTGATGAAATTTGGCAAGAAAGGTAAGTTAAGTCTGTTATACATTGGTCCCTTTGAAGTTCTTAAATGTGTAGGATCGGTGGCGTATAAATTGACTTTACCTCCTAATTTATCGGGAGTTCATCTGGTATTTCATGTGTCCATGTTGAAGAGATACCATGGTGAAGGGGATTACATCATTAAATGAGACGCAATTGTGTTAGACAAAGACCTCAAATATGATGAGGAACCGATTGCAATTCTTGATCGTGATGTGTGCAAGTTGAGGACCAAAGAGATTAAGTCCGTGAAGGTTCAATTTAACCATCGTCCAGTTGAGGAAGCTACTTGGGAAATCGAGAAGGACATGCGAGACAAGTATCCCCAATTGTTCGTCGATTCAGGTACTACTTCATTCCTTCCTCAACCTATTTTTCCTAAGTTTATCACTCAGGGACGAGTGATGGGTAAATTGATATATATTTTAACGATCGGGTTCCGTCTTTATAGAAAGGCCAATGGGAAAAAATTTTCGGTTGGAAAACTTTTTTGTAGTAACTTGAAATTTTCCAACCTAGTCCATATTTGGACGGAATCGGAATCTTTGAGGTGTATGGAAATCTGGTAACAATCGGGTGACTTATGTATGATTTTGATTACGTTAGTAGTTAGATAAGTCATTAAGGAATTCGTATGACTTTACGGAATTGAATTTGGGTGAGTAGAACCCCTAATATTGATCTTAGCGTGAACGATATTTTCTGAGCGTCGTTGGTTAAAAGTGTGTTGTAAATGGGGGTCATGGAATTATTAAAATAGCTCACTGTTTAGTGCAAGCCGCTTTGGCGGTGGTTTTGGTTGCTCTGGCGGTGCCACTGTAGCGGGGTGAGGGCCGCTGTGGCGGGCCAAACGCAACTTAAAGTCGTAAATAAACTCCAAAACAACTTTATTCTGCACTCTTCGACTTTGAGAGCTAGGAGATGACCCCATATGAGTTCTTGACCGTTTTTCACCATTATTGAGACTAAATGTAAGATTTTAACTCTCCAAATTCGTTTTCCAATCGTAGAACGTAATCTAATGGGTAAATATCGATGGGGGAGAGTTTTGATCTAGAATTTATCGTGGAAACAACCCTAGTTGGGATAATTGGGATCATGGGTATGATCTAGGGTTATTAGAATTGTTAGTAATCCGGGTAATTAGTGATTATTTATTGATTCCCGTATTATATTAATTGTTTGTAGACCAAGAACAAGCGAAATGAAGCCAAAAAGGGAAGGATCAAGTTTTTAGGGTTTCAAGCTTGTTTCGAAGTAGGTGATGGTTATGATTCTATAATTGTGTGATGTATGTGTGTTCTTGTTTCATTATGATACTTGCATGTATGAGAACGTTGCATTATTGATCACGCTTGTTGTAAATGAGATAGAGGAATGATGAATGCCATGAATCATGACTAAATTGTATGAACTTGAGAAGATACTTGTGATTGTGATTGTGGTGTGTTGAATGGATTGGTTGCCACGTTTCGGCATAACTAACCATGTTTCAGCATAATTATGGGATCGATTGCCACGTTCCGCATAAATATTGGATCGGGTACCACGTTTCGGTATGCTAATTGTTTGAGTTTGAGTTTGGGTTCCATGAGAGGACCAATGACTTGTCATAATTGTGTATCTTGAGAAATGTGAAGTTGTTCGTTGTTCATAAATGTTGATAATATTGTATATGTTCGATATATGCATGTGATTATAATGTTGTATTGACTAGCTTATGTTACACTTAGTGTGATAGCCACGTGATCCTACCAGTACACTGTGGTTGTGTACTGATACTGCACTTGCTCTTATTTTTGTTGAGTACAGGGCATCTTCCGACGGCTATTGACAGACCTCACTTAGAAGATCAGTGATCGTTCAAATTCAAGAGTGAGTCAATTCTTCTGGGCTGCCATGAGTTCTCTTTCGTCAAGGTTTACCATTTCGGACTTAGACTTTCTAGTTAGTTATTAGTGCATTAGTTTGGGGTTGTATCCCTTCTTGTTTAGACTTGTTGAACTTTAGATGTTTTGGTACATTGACTTTCAGGTTCTAGGTGTATTTTCCACATTGTTTAGTTGTTAGATCTTTTGGAAGTTTATGGGAACTTTAGTCTTTAGCTATTTAAGTTGCTTCTGTAACTTAAATGCTTTAGTTTTTGGTTTAGTTGCTTGGTTTGGGTTGTAGTAGTGGTTCTTCCACCGGAGGGTTAGTGTGGGTGTCAATCACGACGGTCTGGGCAGTGACAAAGTTGATATCAGAGCTTAGTTCGTTGATCTCGATGTATCAAAACGAGTCTAGTAGAAAAGTGTTACTTTTTCAAAACAGACTAAAATAGAAAAGTGTTACTTTTTTAATTGTTAATGCTAAATATAGAAAATATGTTACTTTTTCAAAACGGACTAAAATAGAAAAGTGTTACTTTTTTAATTGTTAATGCTAAATATAGAAAATATGTTACTTTTTCAAAACGGACTAAAATAGAAAAGTGTTATCGGGACGAAAGAAATATTAAAATAAACATTTTGTGTGGTTATATATAAATCATCTTATTAAATTTAAAATAGGTATTTTAAAATTAAATTATTATTGCTAAATATAGAAAATGTGTAATTCTTTTAAAATGAACTAAAATAGAAAAAGTGTTATCAGAACGAAAGAAGTATTAAAATAAACATTTTGTGTGGTTATATATAAATCATCTTATTAAATTTACAATAAATATTTTATATTTAAATTGTTAATATTAAATATAGAAAATATGTTATTCTTTTAAAATTGACTGAAATAGAAAAAATGTTACCGAAACGAAAGAAGTATTAAAGTAGTAAATATTACGTTTGGATCAATCACTACTTGTTTATATGATTTAACTATAGATATATTTTTTTACACATTAAGCAATTGCAAAATAAAAAATTACCTTCTCATTATTCCTTCACTACGCAATGATTTTAATATGATTGTTAGAATAGACGGTTGTATGAAAGAAGCAAAGTGTCCAATAAACATAATTAATATATTAGTCAAATCAAAATATTAACGGTCTCATGGGTGGTAGGTTAAGATATATTTTAAATGATTTAAATAGATTAAACTAATAAATAAACGATCACCGCTTAAATATAAATAAATTGGACGAATCATATTTTTCTGAACTAATTTTACCACCCACGTATACCATTTTTTTGTTAACTTTTGCTTGTAAGGTTACGTTTTTAATGTTGTGAAAGCATCCGTCAATCAAGTATCTAAACTGATTGCTTCTAAGCTTCTTTTTTGGGGTTAATAAGATATCTAAAAATCTCATAATTATTAATCCAATTAAACTTTAAGATTTTATCTCCTTTTAAGTCCTTTAATGCCCATTCTTTATTCTCCTATCTAATCTTAATTCTTCAATTATTTTATTTCCTTTTAAGTCCTTTAATGCCCATTCTTCAATCACCTATCTAATCTTTAATTCTTCAATTATTTTATTTCCTTTTAAGTCCTTAAGGCCCACTCTTTAATCACCTATCTAATATTAATTCTTCAACTATTTTGCAGGAATTATTCATCTAGATCTCTATATCAAAAGCTTATCAAGGTATGTCTTTCTATTAATTTATGACTTTTTTTTTAGTTTTTACCCCAATATTCTTCCCAATTCCTTTTTTTTTTTTTTTTTTTTTTGAATTTCATCTGATTGGTTCCACAAAATTGTAGGCTAATAACAAATCTGTAGCAAATCTTCTTAGACGAAAATTAGGGGTGTCAAATGGACGATTCAAATGAGTTAATAATTAAGCGTATCAATTGTTAGTTGAGATAAATCGGCACCTAACAAATGGGGCATAACTAGCTCGTTCAATTCTTATTAGTTTTTTTTTAAATTTTTTTTTTTTCATAATTGGTTTGAGTATCTAATATATTTTTCTACAAGATTTCTCATGAATTAATCTGCGATGTATATCAGCACAATTTTTAGACAAACTGAATTAAATTACTAAAAAAAATTAAGTTGATAAATGCGCGAATCTATGACCTGCCCAAACTTTAGGATCGAATTATATAAAGAATGTTAAAAATTGCAAGTTGCTTTTAAACAAATAGTAATTTCTCTGGCCATCCATGTTGAGTGACCGTCCATCACTCCGATAAATCCTTCACATTTTTGATTGATTTTAGGGATTCAATAATTAAATTGAGAATTGTTTAAAGATTGTGCTTTGATGTGCATACTATACAACATGTGCATGTGAATAATTATTTTTTGGTGTAGAGTAGACTACTAATTTGTTTTAGTGTGTTCTAACATAATGATTAACCTTGACCAAAACTTTTTAATTAAATATAAAAAGTTACTTACAACTTACTTTAGTATGTATATGAAGTATTTACAATTTTATGAATTAATTATATCGTGTATTGATTGAGTCTTCAAATTTAATAGTGGGAGTGTCAATAGAAAAATTTGAATAAGATTTTAAGATAAATAGAAGAAAATAGAGTACATATTCTTAAAGTTTTGTTAGTACAAGTACAATGAAATTAATGTGAGATTAGATGAGATTGTGGTGATTAAATGTTGATAATTAAGATATCTTGACTCAATAATATTGAAAAATGATTTGACAGATAATTAAGATGTAATACACATAATTAAAATAGAATGATAAAAACAGAAAGTACAAGGAGATTATTGTTATGTGATTGAAGTATATCACCAAATTTAACGACAAATTCTTCGGAATATTGATTGTAAGTCCAACAATGTACTTACGTGATAGTGGATATTAAGCCACATAAGGTTAATCGATTTATGTTATTTTTTCAATAAACACGTAGATTTTTATTTAAGTGTATAACCGTTCCGAACAATTGGAATGATCTTTCTAATTTATGAAAAAAAAATAAAAATTTCCAAACCGAACCGAATAACTTTACATGTAAATATATTTTATGCATTAACAATATGCTAACATATAATATATAAATATAAATATAACCTAGGTCTTAGGCCTCTAGTGACTAGACAACTTTGGGTCTTTGCTCTTTCATTAACCTTTACTTAATTAAGTTTAAAATTAAAAGATATTGTAATAAATACTCTATCAAACAATACGGTAATATGGTTTTACATTATTGTCTTCTTGATGAAGAATTAAAGTGCTTCTTCAAGAACATATTTGCGAAAGAAATACTTTAATAGTAGTATATTTTGAGGTGATATTTTAAAAGAAAAAAAAAACGAAAACTAACAGAACCGTTTCGATACTGAAGAGAAACCGATATGATTGGATGGTTTTAAAAAAATGTAATTTTGGTTATATATTATAAAATGATTGAAAAATTGGGATGATATAACTTTAAAAAAATAACTGACCGAACCATACCATTGACACCCCTAGATGAGACTGCTTTACAGATATCTCAAATTCTTTAAGTTTTTCGGCACGATCATTGCGATCGAAAACAAATCATAGAACTACTATAGAGTATGGATTAATTAATTGTAGCCAAATTAAATACATTCTAAGAAATCGGCAGCCGTTTATTGACCCAAAAAATTGCTTTTATACATTTCTTCATTTTGTTTCACATGACTTGTTCTCTTTGTATATTTATTAATCCACCTATATTCACATGCACTAAGAAATGGTCTGCTTATTACCCTATACCTCTTCGAATATTCTTTTCCTAAAAAAGTTGCATAATTCTAGAATGCACGAACATATTTCAATATTAGGATTTTTAAATTTTGAATCCGCCTCAGTTATTCTATTAATAACTGACTATACAGACAAGAAACTTTTAGGTAGCCATGGAAAAAACTCAAACTCAAAAACTAGTATTAAAAGAAAGTCAAACATTGCTAAAACAATGTCAATCTTTGTAATTAATATGTACACATTACAATTATTTGACTAAACTTTAGAATTAAAATTGAATTAAAATTAATTTAATAGTTTAAATTTAAAAATTGGATGTTCGAAGACTATACAAAAATACTATAAACTGCAATTATTCTCATATTAATATAATTAAAAAATACATCTTAAAATGTTGATCAATTTATACTGTTTAACTCTCGAAAAGTGAGAAGTAAAAGTGAACCGAGAGAATATATATACATGAGTTACATTTATTATTAGTATGTGTAGTTGGTTTGTTTGTTCTTATAGTCTTGAATAATTATAAATGCTTCTCCATTCTCTATGTGAAAAGTTGTGTTACATGGCACATAAAATGTTCTCTTTTCAAATGTAATATTATTGAAAGGTACATTTCCCCTATTCTTTTCCCTACATATTAATTGTATGTTCAAAGTAGGGTTTTTTCTCTTTAATTTCTAGATGTGAGAGATTCATTAAGGGCCTGTTTGGAAGGACACTCTGGTAATTGGATTTGGTGTAATTTGTGTAATTACATTGTCTTGTCCTATTTGGAAGGACAGGTAATTACTTGGTCAGCAGGTAATTGGTGTAATTGGTAGGGGGTAATTACACTCTACAATTCACAGCCAGAGGCTGTGAATTGCTGGTAATTACATGGTGTAATTACCACCTGATTACTTTTTAATTTCTTTTTTTTAATTTCTATTTTAATTTTTTTTACTTCTATTATTTTAAGTTCTTTTTTTAATTTTATTATTCTAAAAATTTGTAAAAGTTTATTTTATATTTTATATTATTATATTTCATTTTCTTCTTATTCTCAACCTTACTTTACGTGATTCTATGTAATTTTTTTGTATTATCTATTTCTTTATGTCATGCTTATTTTCTCATTAGCATAATTTTATTTTATTCTAATTTTTAAATTAAAATAAAATTTATTGTTAAATAAGTTATAGACTTACGTTTTCTTTATTAAGAAAAACTAAAACTAAATCATATTTATTGCTATATTGAAATTTGTTATAAGAGTATTATGTTAAAAATTTTGTTTTGAATTTATAACTTATGTTATATTTTTAGTTTCATTTGTTTTAGTAATACTGAATCTACATTGCACGTCATTTTTTAATTAGAGTTGATAAATTATATTTTTGTCAAACATTTAATAATTTATGACATTTTATTTATATATTATTCTTTTTATCAAACATGCATTTCATGATGTTCGTAGAAACTTCATACTTTTAGTTGTTACGATCAATTCAATTGAAATATATTAATTTGAAAAAATATAAATCAATTATTTTTTCATAATATTAGTTACAGAAAATATGTTTATTAATTAATATATTTTCAAAAAAGAATATATATCTTAAATATTTAATTTAATGTCATTTATAAAGTTTCTTATTTGTCTAGTATAAATTTTAAATAATTAATTTTTATTTTAAAATTTTATTATAATTTTATGATTGCAATGTGCATCCAAACATAACATGTGTAATTACACTGTGGCATCCAAATATGACATGTGTAATTACAGTGTAATTACATTGTGGCAACCAAACAGGTTAGTGTAATTACTAGACAGTGTAATTACTAGGCTGGACAGTGTAATTACTAGGCTGGTAATTACTACCCTAGTAATTACACCAATTCCAATTACCAGGTGGCTTTCCAAACAGACCCTGAGTAAAATACTAAGGAGTTAAACTTTGAATTGATGTCCAATTAATAAATGTGATGTCTTATAAACTGAAATCTACCATGGTCCATTAATGTTTAAACTGAAAAAAAGAAAAATATATATTATACCTTCTTCCTTTGAAGCTAATTGACTATTAGATGTGATTAATGTGACAAACTCAAAAATTAAACGTTATAAATTTTGTGAATTAAGATATTGAATTTTGATATGTATATCATCTTTTTATGATTTAATCAAAACATTGAGTTTTGCCGAAATTGGAGAATTTAGAGGTGAGAGTTATTAGGTGCAAATTTTAATCATGATATTAATTAAAGTGAACTCTGTGAATTTGTATATTATTAAAGGGTTGACCAAAAATTCTTTTAAAAATAATTAATCATATCACACTCATTGTTTCTTGTATATGTATGTATATATACAGTCGAAAAGACTGCAAATTATATCAAGCCTAAATACTGTATATATTTATATCAAACTTTCTTTCTTTTTTTAGGATGTCAAAGGCTTCACCAATTTGGCTGCCTATATTCTTCTTATTTGCTCAACTATTTCATGCATCACAAGCTGATCTTGGAACTGCCAGCCAGTATAAGCCACCATATACACGTAAGTTACAAATAAATTAACTTTTCGCTCGTAAAATAAAGATAGTTTAAGAAACATCTTGGATTACGTTCTCACATAATCATAGGTACTCTAAAGAAATATTGTAATGTAGATAACCTACCTAGCTACATTACAGGCTACCTCAAGGGGATCGGGTGTAATGTATACATCATATCACATTTGTCTATATTAGTCTTACAGTGAAAATTCATGTAATCGACTTTAAATTTGACTCGTTTTTTTCAGATCTCCTTAAACCTAATTATTAATCACCCCTTGTATTTGTCTATTTTACAACCATTACCACCTCAAACAATAGATGGTCCCAATTATATCCATGTAGTAATTGACTTTTTTTCTATCGATCGAAAAGTGAAACATGACAAGTAATATATTGTTGGCGCAGCGACGGAGTGTTTTGGGAATGATCCAACACAATTCCCATCAAGCAACTTCTTTGCAGCAGCAGGGGAAGGAATATGGGACAATGGAGCAGCATGTGGAAGACAATATTTGATCAGTTGTATTAATTCAGTGTTGCCTAAAGCATGTAAAGCTGGAGAAACAATTCAGATAAAGATAGTTGATAGGGCAAAAACATCACAATCAAGGCCAACTAAAGAAGGAACCACCATGGTTCTTTCTAATGCTGCTTTAGCTGCCATTGCTCTTCCAAATACACCTTCTCTCAATATTGATTTCAGACAGTAAGTAATATTTTATATTTCCTAGATCCAATTTATATGCGGTATCACTACAACAAAAACAACTTTTAGCTAGCAGGAATTAATAAATGTGTGCATATTAAAGAGTATTACTTTACATATTTAGTGACTATTATTTTATGTTGGTATAAACTCTAGAGACATTTACAAAGAGTGTTAATTGCCTAAAAAATATATTTAGCGACTATTAAGTTATTACCATTAAAAATCATTTTTGATATAGTACACTTTGATACTCATGCATTGATATGATAACATGTGAAATATGATAATTAAGTGACATAGTACAATTATTTAAAGTTAAACTACGTCGATTTTGTAATTATTACCTATTAGTACTATTAATTAGTTCTTGTTCATTTATGTAGATTGATATATCAGCTTAATTAGTTTTCAAAAAATAAATTTATATATTATGAAACTGATGGATATGAACTGTCTGTTCTATTATTGCAGGGTGTAGAAATATTGGTACAGGACGTGGGAGTCACATTCTATATATTCTAGAAAATCTGACTAATTATATCTATAATGTTCTAGAATGAATCTTTGATTAATCCGTCAGTTATTAATATTAGTCATTGACTAATTATACGTTGAATCGACAAAATTTGTCAATAATGTAAACGAACAAAATATTGATTAGCAGCTATTTAAGAAAATTGGGACACCTTCATATGCAGGCAAATGTCTATCTTATTTATTTATCTTATACACAAATTGTTTTGTTTTATAGTACTCCTTAAATGGTCACTATCTATGTATTCATTGAGGAGAAATATTTAATTGATGTTGTGCAAGTTTGTAAATATCAATTCAGATAGTTTGACTTTTAAATTAGAATATTTTACGTGTTTTTGTTTGATCAGATTATTTTTATTTTCCCAAATCAATATGGATTCGATTTATGAGTGTCAAACTTTATAATTTCCACTTAAATTACATCGATTTTTATGGAAAATATGAGGGATCATAATTTTTTATTATTAATATACCTATAAATTTTTTTAATGAAAAATATAATAAAAGAACATTACTTCCAAAATAGAACTTATATCAATAAGTCAATAAGTAAGACATAAATGGGCTCCAGGGACTGTATAATTGGCCAATTGCTAGTACTTCCTAAACTATATCCATATATATATATTCTAAAAATTATCCAGGACATCAATAGTCAGCTAAGCACTAAACAGGAAAAGAAACTACAAAATAAAAGGCACGTATAGGATTATTATATCATAAATAACTTTTAGCAGTAATTAATTAACAATAAGAGATTAATTACCGTTAAATATATTCTTTTAGAGCAATTACTAGTGACAAATATATTTTAGCATTCTTTGTAAATATTGCTAAAGTTTGGAGCAACATCGAATTTAATGACGATTAACTAATGTTGATAAAGAATTCAATATTCTTTGTTAATGTGCATATTTATTTCTGCTAAAAACTATTTTTGTTGTAGTGTAGAAAGAAAAGTATGTGGTTTTCATATAGTAAAAAAAGAAATGTTTATATTATAGTATGTATATGTATATATATGGATGATGTTTCTTGGAAGTTGAAGGGTTGCCATTTGCATGGATGGGCTATTTGGCTACACCTAATTGAGGAATAGTTCTAAATTGAAACTATTTTAGTTTTGTTTGGTCAAGCAATGACCAAGTCAACTTCAAATGGAAAACTCTCCTTTGTTTTGTCTGAATTAACCTTTTTTCCTGTGATTTTTCGATGTCCTATGAGTAAAGTCTGTATTGAAACCTCAACTAAATTCGAATCGCACACTGCAGGGCCTATTCGAAAGTGAGACTCCTAATAAAATTTTCTCCATACCCAATTTCAAACTTGTTAATGTTGATTGGAAGAACCCTTTGTAGTTTGTATCTAAAGAGAAATCATCGAGGTTGAAACTATTTTATGTTATTAACAAACTGCAAAAAAGAAAAAAATAATACTGATTGATAGAGAAAATAAGTTGAAGCATTAATTTGTTTTTCAGTAATATATACCACGTGTGACATTTTCTTAGTTACGTATGAACTTTTGTTTCCCCTTGATAGTCCTAATAAAATCACCACACACTACTAATACAACTCACCCTAGCTCCCCTCACATCATCTCTATCATATATATACTTGTGCAACTTTATGTCCAACCAAGTGTTTTTTAATGACTGTGATGTTCGGGTCAATTTTCAGTCAATTCGATTATTTTTATTGAGTAACTATTATCTTCCACTAGCAACAGATACCAGCTAACTATATCAGTACTTTTCTCTATGCTCAGATTTGAACCTTAGAACTTATGATTCTCTACCCACTTTATTGATTACTAGGCCGCACTCATATGTCCAACAAATTGTTGATAATAATTACTATTCCATGGTACAAACTATTAGTGGTGAACAATATTTTCTATAAAAACATTTTTACACTAACATCAACGTTAACTGATTTTACAGTTGGCCCATTGAACAACCTGTTTTGATCTGCGTCCTTTGGGGTGCAATGTGCTGAAGTTTATGTAACCCATTTTGGGGAAAGTTTTTATTATGTACGAGGTACACCATGTCATACTTGTATGAGGCATTGTTTGATTGACAAGTGGACATGGATGGGACCCATTTGTCAAGCTAATAAAGGGACATCTTTAAGTCCCCTTTGTCATTTTTTTGGTTTTATTCCCCTTGTTCAATATATTTTGTGTTTTAATCTTTTTAATATTTTTTTCTTCTTTAAGATTAAGTTGATCAAATCTTTTAAGAATTTTATTTGCTGATCTTATTAGTTTATGCTTTTCTTTTTTTATGTACTGAATTTTAATTTTAATTTTATGATTATTATAGAAGTTTTAGTTTATTATTTTAATATTATTTTTTCTATTCTATGTTATTTATTCTATTATAATAAATAGTGGTTTGAAATTTATTTTTTAGTTTATAAAATCAAGATATATTTAATTTTTTTTAATCCTATTAATTATTTTTAAAAAAAATTATAAAATAAATTTGGTAAAATTGCAAAAATTCTATTATGGAATAAATTATTAAAATTATTATTTATATTTATAATTTCTTAAGAAACGTATAAGAAAAGTAGATAAACAATATTTATTAAATTTCACCTAGCTTGAATTTTAAGAATAAAAATATCGTATAAATTGACGGAAATAATATGTATTTATGTTGATGTTTATGGATGTTTTTTGTTTTTGAATTTCATGACAATAGTATCAAAACTTATGCAATTGTTTGTCAAAATCATTGATGTTCTTTCGTTATATTTACTTATTGAAGAGTATTTGTGGATTGAAGTGCTTTTGGATTATGAAATTGTTGCGAGAAAAAGAAAATAACTTATTAAATTTGTTCCTTCTTTATGTTTCATATTAATAATCTACTTTTCTTTTACAAATTTCTTAAGAAATCATAAATAGAATAATAGTTTTACTAATTTCTACCTTAATTTTTTTTGGTAAATTTATAAATTTTATTTATACTTTCAAAAATAATTAATTGTTATAATAAAATAGAAAAATTGAAATTAATTATATCTTTGTAAATAAACAAATAATTTTATATAACTATTTTTAATAATATAAATAATCAATATTGAGATAAAAAAATAATATCAAAATGCTAGAAATAGAATGAGTCCGGCAAGATTTTTTGGATTTCATATTTTCCATGAATATGTATGATGTTTCTTGGAAGTTGAAGGGTTGCCATTTGCATGGATGGGCTATTTGGCTACACCTAATTGACGAATAGTTCTAAATTGAAACTATTTTAGTTTTGTTTGGTCAAGCAACGACCAAGTCAACTTCAAATGGAAAACTCTCCTTTGTTTTGTCTGAATTAACCTTTTTTCCTCTGATTTTTCGGTGTTCAAAGAGTAGAGTCCATATTCTCAATTAAATTCGAATCGCACATTGCAGGGTCTATTCGAATGTGAGGCTCCCAATAAAATTTTCTCCACACCTAATTTCAAACTAGTTAATGTTGATTGGAAGAACCCTTTGTAGTTTGTATCTAGAGAGAAATCATCGAGGTTAAAACTATTTTTATGTTATCAACAAACTGCAAACAAGAAAAAAATTTAAAAAATACTGATTGATAGAGAAAATAAGTTGAAGCATTAATTTGTTTTTCAGTAATATATACCACGTGTGACCTTTTATTAGTAACGTATGAACTTTTGTTTCTCCTTGATAGTCCTAATAAAATCACCACACACTACTAATACTACTCACCCTAGCTCCCCTCACATCATCTCTATCATATACTTGTGCAACTTTATGTCCAACCAATTGTTTTTTAATGACCGTGATGTTCGGATCAATTTTCAGTCAACTCGATTATATTTATTGAGTAACTATTATTTTTCATCAGCAACAGATACCAGATAACTATATCCACCAATGCTAGAGCAGATGGGAAAAGGTCACCTACATGTACTTCTCTCTCTGCTCAGATTTGAACCTTAGAACTTATGATCCTCTACCCACTTCATTGACTACTAGGCCGCACTCATGTACAACAAATTGTTGATAATAATTACTATTCCATGGTACAAACTATTTATTAGTGGTGGTGAACAATATTTTCTATAAAAACATTTTTACACTAACATCAACGTCTTACAGTTGGCCCATGGAACAACCTGTTTTGATCTGTGTCCTTTGGACATGCCTTTTTGGTGCAATGGGCTGAAGTTTATGTAACCCATTTTGGGGCATCATGTGAACTGTGTGATAAGATTAAGGTTTGTGTCCTTTAAGGAAATGCCCTTTTGGTGCAATGTAAGGATAAGATAACTAGAATAAAGGGTAATGGCAAATAAATTTTTAGAAGAAAAACTCACCTGTTAACATACCAACGATATTTACCAATGTGTACCAGCTTACTAGTGATATTGTTCGCTTTTGCCTTTGCCCTGCATAACTTAATAACTTAACTTGTCATTTTGGTTTAATGAGTACTTCCCATGTCTACCTAAATTCACCATGTGTTCTGGTAATGTGAAAGTTTTACAACAAGAGGCCTAATTTTCTGGATTTTCAAGAATTAAGTAAAGCATTGAGTTCATTCTGCCCATAAAAATTTCCAACTTTAGATGTCAAGAGCTTCCCTTTTTCTTTGCTTAACAGTAATGCCAAGTATTGCGAGCTGTGAAAGCTAATGCTTGCAACAGGGTAGGTTGTTTACATCACACCTCTTGGGATGCAGCCCTTTGCTGAACCCCGCTAACGTGAGATGCTTTGGGCACAGGATTGCCTTTTTTATCGGTAGCTGCTTGATTGAAACATGAAAATACATGAAACACATGGTAAACTCACTTTTCCTTGAATTCCTAGTTAAAATGTTAGTACAACTTTTACCTTTCTTCTCCATTTCCCTTTCTCCTAGACAAACAAAGCAAGAAAGTAGACAACTTCATGAAACTTTATCCTATTATCAACAAGTTGACAGATATATTTCAACTTTTTTCTTCACCAAAATTTTCTTCCAAAAAAGAAAAGGAGGAGAATTTTATTTTT